TATATATGTTTTTCTTCTATTGTTACAAAGATGACATTTTCACTAATGTTTTCCGGAAATCGTTCATATATAGTGTTCAACCTCATCTGAGCAAAGATCGATGATAGGACGAAGTGTGTAGGGGTGAAGTTCACATCATTTCTGCATACCTCGTCTAGTCGTCCTCTACCAATCTTCGCCACACTTCCTAGGCAGAAGAAGGCCAATGCAGGCCATTAGAGATCGTCTTCATTGTATTGAATCCTTCCTTTCTTTTGTCCTCTTTTAGAAGGCTTGATTTTATGCGTACATTTATATAGTCAATTAACATAATGACCCCAATCTCCCTATGATCACACAACGTATTCAACAATGACAGAATAGTCATTGCATCTAAATCTCCCAATACCTTGACGCGTCCATTCCAGATATGGCCGGCGTTAACAACACCGATTCATTGTGGCGCTACCAATACGACAACAGGCACATCAGCGCCAGGCAAGTTAGCTGTCCTATGATTGTAACAACGCCGATGGTGGCCCACGCCAAACGTTTTAGTTATTCTGCTATTACAACTACTCAGTCGACTCCATTATTGCGGTGACGTGTGCTGCCGTCCTGTGTGAGCCTGTCTGTCCGCCAGTCTAGCCATTTATTGCAAATCGTGTCAAGGTTAACGGTAACATGGCGGTGACGCCGAAATAACGCTGTTCTGTAACATCGGATCGTACGGAGGGAGCCGCGTGCGTATAGCTGCTATTGGCTGCACTTTTGCTCATTTACGGTCGTGCCATAATTGGTTAGCAAGCATTGTTCGAATAGATGAAGCAAGTGCCACGCGAAGCAACACAATCCAGGGGGTCGACTAGGGTAAAAGACAATGAAAAGACGAACTTTTTACTGATTCTAATAAAACGAACTCAGTAGTTGTTTCAAATAAAAGGACTATTCGAGGATATACATGTGTAAGCGACACGCAACGCGATTTTCGATGTTTTTTGCCCAGCAGACCGATGTCTTCTTTTTTGCAGAATGTGTACAGTAGGTTAGTCGCAGTTCATCTAATGGACATCTTAAAAGTAGTTTCGCGTACGGTGATTGTATAAATGTCATGGAGGCAGAATTACAAGGTTCACGGATAACCCTTCATGAAAATATCTGTTCAAAATGCCACTTCGAGCTAATTCCAGCTTTTTTAATCGTTTTGCTGCTGAACGTTGCCCTTTCCCAGACTGAAGCAGCCTATGGACCATCTTGAGCTCTGCTGCTTTCGGGTACCACTCGGGCATAGGTAGAAGGAATATATCTGAAATAATCTATCTATAATTATACGATAGATAAAACAGATTCCTGAATACGGCGAATTCATTGGGCGGGTCAGAAATTGCCTGAGTGACAATTCTAGATTTCAAAGCTACTGGAAGCTTTTAATAGAAGCCACATACTTTACTTTTTATTCTGTTTATGCTGCGCAGTGGTTGGGAACGGCGACCAATTACGGCGACAAGGTATAAAGACCAGAGGATACTACTGGCTTTGTCGCAAGTATACAGTGGTCCCATTGTAATCGTTATTACCTTTATTTGCTTGATTAATGCTTGAATATATCGATATTACAACTAGTTGAAATACGAACAACTAATGGTGTAAGCTTGTTTTTCTCAATGGCATCGTAGCATATAAATTACATGTTTCAATTAGGAAACTCCAGTTTGCCTGCCTGAGCCATAGAATCGTCGCATGATGACAATCGAGCAAGCGTTATAGACTCATTAATCACATCTGTACAAACTAGGTTTACAAACCAAGATGTTTAAATGCTGCCTGTTGCGGATATATAAACACTCATGTAGTTTGATGTGTCTGACGGTCAATCTGTGAAAACAGCAGCCTCTTACCCTCTCGCAGAGAACACTTGCAGCGGACATAGGACAACTCAATGTGATCAGCCAAGACATACAAACATACCCCACGATGACGAAAAAATCGCTCCATCAAATCGGAGTGGCTGTCCAAAAAAACCGTTTTAATATGTAGAAAGCCTTTGCTAAGTTATTGACAACGGAAGCGCAATCCGTCGATAAAATCTATCGACTTTCATAGATAATATAAGTGGTAATCATCATCGATACCAGTTAATATATGAATAGAGGGAGAGAGAGAGGGCGAAAGCCCTGTGGCAAATTTTCGTTCTTCCGTATTCTCAGGAGGAATTGACACTCGATAGGCACTTATGAGTGCATATATCCATGAAACCGGATGTTTAGCATGACGTTAATCACCGCCGAACCTACGGCTCTCTCCAGGAATTCTATGGGACTCTAGGTATTTAGTTGATGTGCTTGTAAGTTCTATGCAACTACGTTTGAAACTTACGCATAGTGTAACCAGACGTCATAGCATTCTACTTAAGCTCTAGAAGTCCAGTTTATCACAATTCTAATGCATACGTATCTTTGGCTCTTAGGTAGAACTTAGCCCGCCCTAGGTATTCTTATAATTTATATTTTTTGACCTGTAGATTGCGGACGCACGTTTTTCTAGCCAGATAATTGTTATATTACTCTTAGATTGTATAGCTACCTCTTTAGGCGTTTTTTAGCAAGCTACATTGGAAGGCTCGCTATAATTGTCGACAACGGAAAATACAACGTAGGATCACCAACGTCTAAGCTGATTTCCTTATGGATAAATAGCACTTTTGAGACCAAAAATTTAAATATATAGAAGAAAACGGGACTTCACACAAACCCGCCACCTAGACGTACTTGAAAGCTTTATTCTCATGTTACAAACGCTCTGCTCTTATCAGTTTAGCACGATAATTACTATCAGTAATAACCGTTTAGATCAGTCGTCCGGTGCTAACCACCTACCACATCATTATACCGTGACAGTTCTTTCGTGGCTAACCCTCAGCTGACATTTTGACGACAAGCCCTGGCGCCGCTTTTTTACCAACATTACCTTAAGAATACACTTCTCTACGGTTAATTAATGAGCCCGCTTGTAGAGTATTAGCTAACAATAATGATCAGGATAATGAATGTGAGAACTAGCCGTAATCAACATAGGAAGAGCAACACCAGAATTGAAGGCACGTGAGCCACCGAGTCGTCACTGC